CCCCCCCTGTCTCTCTTCCGACGGCAACGACGACGCACAACAACATCGCAGAGCATACTGAGGGAGCTGCTCGACGTTCTCTCGACCCAGAGCACGAACGCGCACGCGACGCGCCTGGAGGTGATCATCGTCTACCTCATCTTCGTGGAGGTGGCCATCGAGCTGGTCTGGAACGTGATCATCAAGGACGTGCTTCGTCTCGTGGGGGGTTCCGACAGGGACTAAAAGAGTAAATAGCATAGATACCGATGATCGGAGGCCGTGTGCCTTTCCGCAGGATGCGTTGGGAGAAAGAAAAGCCTGCTGAAGTTGATGCGTGTGGTTGTTTGTTGCCGTGTGCTCGTGTGCGTGATTAGTGTTCAAACGATACCGGTCATGCAAAACACCTCCAAAGGCCATGATCTGGAATCCCGTGAGGTGTGTGTGTGTTTGTGTTGCTTTTTTTTTCTGTTGTTCTCGTGGACCTCGCTATTTGGCCGACCAATCAGAGCGCGTCTGTCAGCGTAGAACATTAGGAAGGATGCCATTCCCAAGAGGGCCTCCGACGAGGGGGCGCCGCGGACGAGAATGCACGGCAGCCTCTAGCCTCTAGCCTCTAGCGTCCGTATTGAAAGAGTGCTTGTAAAGCAAGAGGACACACCGTAAGTAAGTGCTGTCCCTCCTGTGATACCTGAATCAATCTCGTGGCGATGTGCTTGTTTCCGTGTGTGATGGTGTGATACTATCGTGCCGTGTCGTATGGCATCGCGCTGTGTCGTGAAGCTTTTTTTTGGCAGCTCGGTCTGCAAGACAACCAGGAGATATTTAGTAGCGGTTGAGCCGCCCGCAGAACCCGGTTGTGCAGAAAAATGCCGACGCAGAGGTCTCCACATTCCGCTCGCTCTAGAGGACGGCGCGGGGCTGAGAGCTTAGAAAGGGCTGTGGGTGCCGACGCGGGTGGTGGTGACGGGGGGAGGGGGGGGGGGGTGTACTAATAGTTGTGCATGCCGTAGTCGTTAGACCATTGACCTCGCATCCCTACAAAGCCGGGACGGAGCACGCCGGGTTCTCACCGGACCAGGCTCTCACATNTGCGTATGACTTAATTTATTTTCTGGTGCTTCCACTTCCAGAAACAGTTGTAAGCACAGAGTAACTGCCTCGAAGGTGTTGGACCATTTTAACACAACGTGGTGCGATCATCCCCTTGCGCGGAGTGAGGGGTTC